GTTTTTGCTATTTTGAGCTTTTTGAATATTAATTTCATCATTTTAATTATTAATATGGGTTTAATTATCATTTCATCTCCTGTTTCTTCTAGTTTGATCATGAGTAGCTAAATTTTTATTAGGGTTGTGACTCAACCCTACTGTGTAAACTTAATGGGTGTTTGATTTATTACTTGTTTATGGTTGAGTGTTTATTATCTAGTCTTGTTCTTATTTTTATTTGAAAAATTAATGGCTGCAAACATTAATTCATGCCTATTTGACTTAGTCTCTACTTGATAAAGAGAGACATAGTCTAGAAAAACTTGGCTAGTAAGAAATTGGGTCAATCGAGAGATTGATAAGCCCAATTAAAGGGTTGAACCTAGAAATAGTTAAACCCGACTTGAGCTTCTTATCAACTATTTTGTTCAATACCCATTTGGACTTGAGAAAGCCAAATTGGAAAAAATGACTCTCTGACCGAGAGGTATTGAGTGGGTACTTGAGTGTTGATAGCTATAATATACCCCGATCAATAAAACAAGCTTTAACGTTTACAACCCATTAGGAAAACACCTAGGTGAAGGTCATATCCCTAGGCCTTTTATATCATTTGGAAAACAACAAAAATAATTTCCTAATTTCATTCTTTGAATCACAATCGTAGTTTAGTTTAGATTTTTAAACAAAACCAAATATTGCGGAAGTGCAAATTTAGATATACAAACTCACACGCTAAGATATATACTACTAAAACCTATCCATATAGCTCCCTGCGAAATTTGACCCCGACTCTTGTTGTGTATTACTATTGCATCGACCATTTTCATAACCACAAAGTGAGGAGTGAAATTGAATGAGATCAGAAGGGGAGGCTCCTAAGTTATTTAGAAAAGGAAGGCATGGTTCTGCTGCTGAAATAATTGGAGCTACAAGGTTGGAAGGACGTGGTCCTTCAGTTGGAAGGAAGTTTGGCCAGGGCTGAGAATATGGAATTCTTTGCAAACTGTGAAATTTCATATGGAAGGGTCAATCGTGAAGTGAAAGGAGTGAAGGTGAGGTTTGATAATAAAGAGCTAGGAGAGATTCTAGGTATACCTACTGAGGGGTATAATGATTATACCAAGTTGAAAGGGCATAGTCTAGAAAATCTTCCTACCTCACTGGCCATCACCAGGAAACTTGCTGATAGGGACTTGGAGCAAGAACCAGAGCTGTTTATAAGAGTGAGATGGAACCTGCCCACAAAGTGCTCTTTGAATTTATCAACAAAGCATTTTTGCCTAGGCAGGAATGAAGGCACATTGCTACCTTTATAAACCAGGTCCTTATGGAGTGCCAGGATAGTGGGAAGTAGATTAACTGGCCAGGGTTCATAATCCAGCCTCTTCATAGGGTTTTTGTGGCATTAAAATCATGTCATTCCCTATGGCTTTATCCTAACTGTTGTGCTTGATGACTTTAAGGTTCATCTAAAAAACATAGGATGTTTGTACGATGAAAGACTACTTTGGGGCCGAAACTTTGACTGATTGTGACTACCAAGTCCAAACTGTGCCCAAAGAACCTGATTCATCCAAGAGGGTACCTAAGAGTAACAAAGTTAGAGTGTTGGAGCAGGAGAGTGGGGCTAAGGATGCTGAGATTGAACGGTTGAAGACTAGGTTGGCTGAAGTACAATGTCAGAAAGACTCTCTCAAGTCTGAGATTGCAAAGGTGAAAGAGAAGAATGAGGGCATTATTCAAGACATGGTATAACTGCTTCAGGCCAAGAACCAAGAACCTAGTCTCTCCCAGTCCTAAACCATTCTTAGCATAGTAGTAACCAGTGACCCAAGTGAGATTTTCTTTCACTGATGGTTCTATATTTTTATTTCTTTTTATACTTTGTGGAAGAATCTTATCAATAGAATTCACTGATTTTGCTCTAATTGTTTGTTGATATTTCTTAGATGGCTAATATTCTTAGATTGATAAGAGAAAATTTAACCCATGATTGCATTTGAAGTAGCCCCAGTGGCCATGAGTGATATCTGCTAAAATTTGGTTACTTAACTTAGTTATGCAACTTTTCGATGATGCCAAAAGGGAGAAGATAAGGTGTGCTTTTGCTTTGGAATGTGATGTTTATAACCTAATAAACCCGGTCTTTGATGATTTGTGACGTTAAATAGAAACTGCTATAACATTGTGGTTGATATTGAGCCGAGTTCAAACAGGTTCCATGCTTCTGAAAAGAACAGAGCTTGTCATATTCAAAAAGCGGGAATATTTTTGACTTGAGCAGTTTTGATTTTGATGATTGACAAAGGAACACATGCATGAACCATGTCCATGGACAGTGTACACAAGTTACAGTCAGATTCAAGCAAAAGGCATGCATGTGCAAGGGATAAGTATAAGTGGTTATATCTGATAATCCCTGAATGAAAAGATTGCATAATTGATAAGGAGCAGGACTCCTTACTAGAAGAGAACTCTATCCTAGATAAGAAAAGAGTTAGAGATTAAAGTTAACTAGAACTCTTCCACCGAGGAAGAGTAAAACATTTGACTTCTAGTTACTCTTTATTTACTAACTTTATAAATACCAGGGTTGTTCTCTTTTACATGTGATGCACACATACTGAAGTTAAGCAAGAATTGAGAGCAAAATAGCAAGACATTTTATGAGCAATTCCTGCGAGTTTCAAGAATGCGAACCTGAAGCTACATGAACCAGATTGAAGAACCAGTTCCATGTGTCTTTCTTTAATTCTAGTTTTATTGTAGTAGGAGCTTTTAAGTTGTACCTTTCAATATTTATTAGAAGCATTTGTACTAGATACTTGAGTTGTATTGTTTAAGTTAGAGTTAACTTGAAGCAATCGCAACAGCCTGTGGCTTGTTACTACAAGGGTTAGAGTTAATCCTCAGGTTCACAAGAGTTTGTAAACATTGTTGTTTGGCTCAGAGTTGTAATGAGATGTTTGGAAAAAATCATACTGGGAAGTAGGTCATGATTTTTTTACCTTTTGAGCCGGGTGTTTTTCACATAAAAATACTTCTGTTCTTTACTTTCTGTATTATTTATCTGTAACTGTAGTTTAAGTAACGCATAGAAGAACCAAGTCCTTCCATAATTCAGTGCACACAAAAATTGGACACCACGCAAATCGTCCCCTCTAGTGTGGTATTCAAGTATAAAATATCACTTATGGTTATTATTCTTGTGGAAAACCCAATAAACAAGCTTCATAGCTGATGTTTGGCTAAAAATTTATATTTTTGCATGTAATTTGCGTTGCATGATACCTCGATCTTGTTAATTTTTGTGTGAATATTTGTGACTCGATCTTAATAATGTTATTTATATGTGTAGGAGTCAATTGAAAGTAATTTGGAAAGTTTGCATGCGAAGTGAAGTAAAAACGAAAGAATCTGGAGGAAGTATAAGTTTGGTGCCTAGGTTCGCGCTAGGCACCAACCAAAATGCCAAAGGCAACAGGGCACAAAAGTCGAAAACGTTTGGTGCCCAGGTTGGAGCTAGGCACCAACCAAAACGCCATTGACAGAAGACAAAAAAGTTTGTTGTCTAGGTTGGCACCAGGCACCAAGCGAGACGCTGAAGGGCGGATTTTATCCTAATTCGGCTGGGACTTGGGAATTTCAACCCTACACGTCCCTAACGTGCATAAAAGGGGTTCTAAACCTATTTTGGGGGGATCGAACATACTTTGGACCAAGGGAGAGAACAGAGCCACCGTGGAGGCCAGAATTCATCATATTCCATCTTTTCTCCATCAAACTTAGTAACCTTTACGTTTCTTTGGATGAATTGTTATTTTTCTACCATGTTTATGTGGAGCTAAACTTTGCATTCTAGGATTGTGGTTGTCATGAATATTGAAGTTTATTAATTACATTACCGTTAATTCGAGTTATCGTCTTTGGTTGTTTCTCTAATTCTGTGCATAATTGCTTAATTGTTTGGCCAACAGTTGAGTTCTATTTACTATCTATGCTATGTTTGGGAAAGCCGTGTTTAGATTAGAGTAGAATTAGAGAGCGCTTATTTCTGAACCCGTGGCTCGGGAAAAGATTTCACGGTTAGGATAGGAATATACCTAAAAGTCTTGCTTAGTTGAATATTGTATTATATTCGTACATGATAGATTCAATACCATAGGAATATATGGTTAATATATTGTGGATAGACGGATAGTATTGTGGGAACATGCTATTTATATAAACGATCCGGTCAACTAGTAATCATAGATAATTGGGATTAACATGTGTAATTACGAACTCAATAGGATTGACAAACCAACCATAACCCCGGAATCTTCATCTCCTTTGACTTAAGTCTAACTACAATCGCTTGCTCCTAATTAAATTAGCTAATTACTTGTTTAATTTCTGCAATAGTAGTTTAGTAGAAAAATAATATTTTTTATAATCTTGGACAGTAAATTAATTTTAGTTTGCTTAGTTAACGATTAATCTAAGTCTCTGTGGGTTCGACATCCGACTTTCGAGTCAATTTATTACTTGACGGCCACATATACTTACGTGTACTCGGGGAACCAAGAATAACATACATTCGATATCCAAAATCTACTTTCAGGCTCCATCGAGCAGTTGGAGAAAGGGACTTCATGCATTCTGAGATTACTTAGTAGTTGGTCCTTTCGAATTATATTTTGGGTGCAAGTATCAGTGATTTTGAGTGTCCATTGTACCATCCGAGCACTTGAACTAGCTGATATGAACAAGCTCTTATGTTCGATATTAAATGTTTGTGATCATTTATCATTTTATCTAATGAAAAATGCAGTCAGTTGGTCTTTTGATTTTCACATTACTAATATTAATATTTAGAAGCATCGGTTTAAGTGTACCAACACTGCATCATAAAATAGTACCAAAGGCAACATAAAGTGTACACTAAGTTTGAACCCTCTTTAGACCAATTTCATTGGCTATTCAACACGTGGAGGTCACTTAATATACACATAAAGCGCATTATATGGCTCTTAGTAGTCTTCAAAAGTGGAATTAGGACACAATTCCTCTGCAATTTCTTCTTCTCCGGCCTTCGCTTCCCATCTTTGTGTATATTTCTCAATTCTTCTGGGCTTTTATTCCTTCTTTTTTCTTTTAGTGTTTAACCTACATCTTTGATTTTTGCCCTTCTTTTCTGTCTCCTGATTTTGCTTGCTATTAATCTTCTATTGGATATTAATTTTTCCGTTCTTTTTAACAATTTCTTGCTAGATTTTAACATGCATGTCCGGAATTATATCTGATTTTTAATTATATGTTTGGAATATTGAGTCTTATGAAGAGAGTGCAGTGCACTAGACGGTCTAATAAGCGCTATTTTATCACATAACACCATTGAAACTACTCTCAGAGGGCTTTTGCTTCCCTCAAATCCTCTTTTCCAATGTGGGAATTTGTAAGCTTTTTTCAAATTAAGTTAATTTGGTTCAATTTCTTCATACATGCTTGCTTTATGATGTCTAAGGCTTTGATTAACCAAAGACCGTATTTTTATTTTAAGTTTATAAGTATAAATCTTCCTCTGATTAAACTCTTCTGGGGTGTTTTCCACTTGTTTCATGTGACATTACAAGTGTAGATACTGGCTGATTCATTATACTTTTTATGTGGTGTTTCCTTTGCACGGTGATGTACCCAAGTGTTTGATAATATGCCTGACACAATTGAAAAATTATTTTAACATCTCTTGAGTTCCGTAATGCAGTAATTTATCATTCAGCAACCTCAAAGTGATCTATCTTTTAGGCAACATGACAAATAGTCACGAGAATTAGATCTTTGTGTATTCATAAAACTTGGATTATAAAATCAAGCATGAGTATATTTAACACATTAGAAACTCATGCTGCATAGTCAAAAAATTTAGTGGTTAGGTTGTTCTTTCAATTGAGATGAGGATAGAGGCATACAATGTGCATAGGTTTTCTTTTGATTGATATTTTACGTAGGTTTTCTTTTGATTCATTGTTTGCTAATATTAGTGAACATGTGAACGAACTGATTAGTTGGAATGAAATTTTGGCAAAAAGCATAACATACTAAAAATACTTCTTTGTTGAACACATTCGACTTTTATTTGATTTTGATTTTCCACTAAATTTGCGCTTGCATGTCCGTCATTGCTCCTGATTTTGCAATCATCCTCTTTTTCTCAAGAATTTTATTATTTTTTACCAGGATATCATGCAACTAAGAGGCAACATCAATCAAATAATAACTGATACACCGGATTGGATATGTAAGGTCCAAATTGTCGACATAGGTCGAGAACGAGAGAGTCCCGAGAAAAAAGTTAGATTTCAAAATCATATTTTCGAGGATAAAGAGGTAATTATGTCTACAGCAACAACATATATTCAACTTTATACTATTATAATTTTACTGCATTTGTAACAAAAAATTGACACTTTACAGGAGCAACAAATTCGGGGAGTCGTGTATGGCGATGCCATTCCGTATTATGCCGACAAGTTTAAACTCTTACAGATATATCTAATCTCCACTGCAAAAGTTAAAGTTTCATCAACTTTATATGGTCCACCAATATATAAATTTTATTAGGTGGTTGATCGCGAGACTATAGTGGAACATATTGAGCCAAATAATGAGAGTGAGAAACCACTACTACCACCGGCGAAGTTGAATATCACTTCTTTCGACCACATTGCTCATATGACTCCACACATTGCTACAGAAATTGGTTATTTACCCCTATCATCTGTTACCTTTACCTTGATGAAATATTTGGCTTCTATAGAATAAATGTATTCCCCTTATTATATTTCTTCGCTCTGGAAAGATCATTCTATTTTTTTCCCAAGCAGATATACTAGGAGTCGTTGTCCGTTGTGGCTGTCTAAAGTATGCAGGTCGTGCTTCAAATAGGTGACGGAAGATTATTGTTATAGACAGTCAGTCAGTACAATATTTTTACAATATATATACACTTACTTTTCTTTCCAACATGTAGATATATCCTTACGATGGATATTTAATAAGTAATACATTCTCTCCATTGGCAGGAAAAAGCAGTTTCTGCTCAATTTATGGGAGGACTTTGCAGACATTGAAGGAACCGAGCTTTCGGGAAAAATTGAAAAAAATGAAGGATATCCTATAATTCTTGGAAGAAGTAACTTTTCGCTCTTATACATTTATTTTATAAAAAATACCACCAACACTATCCTGCTTCTTCATTGCTTCTCCAGAACTGCTGGAGAAATTTAATTTGTGTCACAAAAATGCAGTTTCTTTCAAAAAGTGCTTACCATAGCAAATACGAAGACTTGATAGAATCATGACTAAAGTGCCGCAGGAAAGTCTACCAACACTGCATCATAAAATAGTACCAAAGGCAACATGAAGTGTATACCCATCTCTCTGTAAGTTTCTCAATCCTTATGTGCTTCTATTTCTTCTTTTTTCTTTTAGTGTTTAACCTACATCTTTGAGTTTTGCCCTTCTTTTCAGTCTCCTGATTTTGCTTGTTACTAATCTTCCATTGGATATTAATTTTTCTGTTCTTTTTAACAATTTCTTGCTAGATTTTTACCTGCATGTCCGAAATGATATCTGATTTTTAATTACATGTTTGGAATATTGAGTCTTACAAAAAAATGTACTGGACGGTCTAATAAGTGCCATTTTTGTTGCAAAATACCACTGAAGCTAACTCTCAAAGGGCTTTTGCTGATGTAAGCTTTTTTAAAATTGTGTTAATGTAGTTCAATTTCTTCGTACATGCTTGCTTTATGATGGATAAGGATTTGATTAACCACATTCTTTTGGTTGAATGTTTCCCGTGTAACAAAAAATATAATATGAATGAAATATATTGTTTGGCATTCATCATCTTGAGTGCACAATGTATCTGTCTCTCATGCAAGGAAAGCAAGTACATCACCGTAGGAGTCAATCAATTTACGACAAGCGAAGCTTACTTTTCCCGGCCAAGAATCACTCTGATTTGTTATGATTTTGCTTTATTAAACTCTAATTTATATTTTTCTTCATTATCTTGAAAATTTTGCAGAGTATAATATATATGAATATTTTGTATTGAATACATCTAAATAGGATGATAAGTTGAGTTTAGTTTCTCTGTCCAACGATCTTTCTAATTATGGCATTTTACGTTATGCCAACGGACTCTTATGGTTTTGCCTTATTTGGTTCTAATGTAGATTTGTTTTTATCGTTCTAAGAATTTTGTAGATGTTTTGTTATTCTTATCTCAGTAAGACTGATTTATAGATGTTCGCTGGAAAGCATCTTAATGTTACTTTTGTTCTATGATACTGATTTATAAAGCTTTGTGAGCTCACTATTATTTGTATAAATCGAATTAAAACTTTTAGCCATAGACCATCAAATTTCTATATACCCGTTTAACATGTTGCTTCTACTGCAGGTGGAGACTCAAAACTGTTTGATCTTTTTGCAAATTAGCTCTTCATAGCATGTTGCTTTGGAATTTGCTAGATTCGATGCCGTCTATTTTTTGATATGGTGTTGTATTTAGTTTGAACAAACTTTTTAATTCATTAACCAAATTATGTTGTTGATTCTATGTAATTTTACTTTGTTTGCCATAATATCATGTTGGGCCCTACTAGTTACTAAAGATGGATGCACGGGCTTCACCCTACTAGTTACTAAAGATAGTATAACTAGTTACTATTTTATTATTTAGAAGTCGCACTTATGGTGTACGAAACATTGGGACGAACACTGGGATTTCAAAAAAATTAAGGGTAAATTGGTAATTGTTCATACCTTCTCATAGGGACACGTGTGCTACTATTAATTTGACCAAACCACGTGTACTGCACTTACATTCAACTATAGTCTATAGTGTAATTCTCCATACCTTCTCATAGGGACACGTGTGCTACTACTAATTTGACCAAACCACGTGTACTGCACTTACATTCAACTATAGTCTATGGTAGTACTTCACAACTCATAATTTCTCTCTCACTTAGAAGACCATCTCAGTTTGTGAGTATCTCAGCTTTCTTCTACTCTTTTTATGTTCTTCAATCTTTTAAATTGTGAAATTGTTTGATAGATTGGTTTGTGGTTGCTTATGGCGTTAACTCTATTGTCCTTGTGATTTTTGGTAGATTCTACTTCATTCTCCTTCTTTCTTTGTTGCACCCATTTCTTGGTGATATGATTTTGATAGATTCGATTTGATTTTCTTCATATCTTAGATTTTTCGCTCTCTGCAATTTTCCACTTGCTTAGCTACTTCAAGAGGTTTGAGTTTTGTCACTATCCAAATTTACCCTCCGTGAATCGTCGTGACGGCACCTAATCTCTACGACTAGGTAAGCCTAACACTTGCAGAAACGAAATAAAAAACATGAAAATTAACAAATAACAGTAACAAATATTTTAATATGCAATTGAGATGTCGCTCGACATATACAATAATCAACTCTCGAAATATACATGACACTCCCAAGACCCGGAACACCGTAAGTCACAAGCTTCTACGAAGTTCTAACTGTTCTATACATCAGTGTCTATAGAAATAAGAGAAGAATTAACATAGGGGGATAGAGGGGGACTCCGAGGATCTGCGGGCGCGGGCAGATGTACCTTGAAGTTCTTCAAAACAGCAGCGACTGCAACTAAGGACGAGGCTGGTAAAAGGAACCTGGATCTGCACACGAAAAACATGTGCAGGAAAGGGCGTGAGTACACCACAGCGATACCCAATAAGTGCCAAGCCTAACCTCGGCAGAGTAGTGACGAGGTCAGGTCAAGGTCCTACTGGTATATAATAAATAAGCAGGAGAGTATAACAATATAATAAGAGGCTGGAATTTAAACAAGGAGAACATAGCAAAGTAGCAACGCAGAATACAGGGATAAACAACAGAGTATCTCTCGAGATACCGTCTCGTACTCCCAAAATAAAAGTGCAAGGAGATCTCTCGAGGTACCGCTCGTAGTCTCAAAAGTAAATATGCAGGGAGAACTCCTAAGGAACCGTCTCGTAGTCTCAAAAGTAAATGTGCAGGGAGATCTCCCAAGGAATCGCCTCGTAGTCTCAAAAGTAAATATGCATGGGGGATCTCCCGGGATACCGTCCCGTACTCCCAAAGTAAATACGCAGCTCAAACAAATGAATATAACGGTTACAGCAAGAAAACCTACAATTTAGACTAAGTACAAGTCAAGAAAGAAGCGGGATTTACTAAACATGCTGCAAAGAGTTTAAATAGGCAATTAGGACATGTAGACATGTTATTCTAGGCTAACAGGATAACTACACATGCTAGTATACTTAGATAAGATGAAAACATGCTATGTCTCGGTAAAAATAAGTTTTTTTTTCACAAATAGCCCGTGTACGCACTCATTACCTTGCGTACACGGCGCTCACATATCATAACAACACCAAATCCTAAAGAGATTTCTCTCACACAAGGTTAGGCAAGCCACTTACCTCGAACCAAACTCAATCAATCGGTAATAATGCCTTTTCCATGAATATCCGGCTCCGAATGGCCCAAATCTAGCCAAAATCAATTACATACCATAAATACAACTATAAGAAATTAATCTAATTAATGAAATCAAAGCTAAAGCAAGAAATCAGAAAATCGTCCCAAAAAGTCTCCCGGGGCCCACGTCTCGGAATTGGGTAAAAGTCACAAAATATGAACACCCATTCACTCATGAATTCACTCGTACCAAAATTACTCAAATCCGATACCAAAATCTCGATCAAAATCTCAAAATTCGGCCTAAGAACGTTTCTCAAATGTTCCCCAATTTTTCACCCCAAATCACTAATTTAATGATAAAATTAAAGACATAATCGTGGGAATTAACCAAAACTAGGTAAGAATCACTTACCCCAAACACCCACGTGAAAATCCCTCCAAAAAGCGCCTAATTCTGAGCTCTCAAGTCCAAATGGTGAAAAATGACATAAACCCTCGATTTTGAACTCTTAAATCTGCCCAGGTGTTCCCTTCTTCGCGAACACGGCCACTATCTCGCGTTCGTGTATAACAAAAATTCCACTGACCAAATTTTCTCCTTCACAAACGCGAGGGACCTCTCACGAACGCGTACCTTTCACTTCCTGGTCCTTCGCGAACGCGATACCCACTATGCGAACGCGTAGACCAAATGACTGGGGTCCCCAGCTGCCTCACTTCCTCTACGCGAACGCGTTCCACTCTTCACGTTCGTGATGCTTCCACTGACCATACCTTCACGAACGCGGGCTCCTTTGCGCAAATGCGAAGAACAAACTTGAGATGGCCTCCCAGATGCCCTACGCGATCGCGAGACCTCTCTCGCGAACGCGATGAAGAAATGTCTGCAACAAAAACACAAGAAATCTGTTATCTTTTCTTAAGTTTAAAAGGTTCGTTAACCATCCGAAATCAACCGGAGGCCTCCGGGACCTCAACCAAACATACCAACAAGTCCTAAAATACCATACGAACTTAGTCGAGCCCTCAAACCATATCAAAACAACGCTAAAATCACGAATTATCCTCCGATTCAAACATAAAGAACTTGAAACTTCCAAATTCGACAACCGATGCCGAAACCTATCAAACCACGTCCGATTGACCCCAAATGTTGCACACAAGTCATAATCAACCTTACGGACCTACTCCAACTTCCGGAATCAGAATCCGACCCAATATCAAAAAGTCAACTATCGGTCAAAATCTCCAAAACTTTGACTTTCGCCATTTCAAGCCTAAATGAGCTACAGACCTCCAAAACACTATCCGGACACGCCCCTAAGTCCAAAATCACCTAACGGAGCTAACAGAACCAACATAACTCTATTTCGGAGTCGTCTTCACACAGTTCCGACTACGGTCCAAATCCTAAGGCTTAAACCTCCATTTAGGAACTAAGTGTCCCAAAACACTCCAAAAACCAAAACGTAACCTCCCGGCAAGTAACAATAGCAGAAAAAGATATGGGAGAAGTAGTTAATAGGGGATCGGGACTATAACTCTCGAAATGACCGGCCGTGTCGTTATATCCTTCCCCTCTTAAAACAATCGTTCGTCCTTGAACGAGCATAAAGACATACCTGAAGTGGTGAAAAGATGAGGATAACGGCTGCGCATAATATGCTTGGTCTCCCAAGTAGCCTCCTCGACCGGTTGACCCCTCCACTGAACCTTTACGGATGTAATGTTCTTTAACCTCAGCTTTCGGACCTGCCTGTCCAAAATAGCCATTGGCTCCTCAACATAAGATAGATCCTTGTCCAATTGGAATGAGCTGAAATCCAACACATGAGCCGGATCGTCATGATACTTTTGGAGCATAGAAACATAGAAGACTCGATGGACCCCTGCAAGACTAGGAGGCAAGGCAAGCCCATAAGCAACCTCCCCAACACGTCGCAGCACCTCAAATGGGCCGATAAACCTTGGACTCAGCTTGCCCTTCTTCCCGAACCTCATAATGCCCTTCATTGGCGAAACCCGGAGCAAGACCCGCTCTCCAACCATGGATGGAACATCGCGAACCTTCCGATCCGCATAACTCTTCTGTCTGGACTGGGCCGTGCGAAGTCGATCCTAAATCACCTTCACCTTATCCAGGGCATCTTGAACCAAGTCTGTACCAAATAATCTAGCCTCGCCTGGCTCGAACCAACCCACTGGAGACCGACACCGCCTACCATACAGAGCCTTATACGGTGCCATCTGAATACTCGACTGATAACTGTTGTTGTAGGCAAACTCCGCAAGTGGCAAGAACTGGTCCCAAGCACCCCCAAAATCTATCACACAAGCGCAGAGCATATCCTCCAGTATTTGAATAGTGCGTTCGGACTGTCTGTCCGTCTGAGGGTAAAATGTTGTGCTCAATTCAACCCGAGTACCCAACTCCTGCTGTATAGCCTCCAGAAACTGCGACCCCCGGTCAGAGATGATAGATACTGGTACGCCATGAAGCCTGACGATCTCGCGGATGTAAATTCGAGCCAGCTACTCGGAAGAATAAGTAATCATCACATGAATGAAATGAGCTGACTTGGTCAGCCTATCCATAATCACTCAAACTGCATCAAACCTCCACTGAGTCCATGGGAGTCCAACAACGAAATTCATAGTGATCCGCTCCCATTTCCACTCCGTAATCTCTAGCTTCTGAAGCAACCCACCCGGTCGCTGATGCTCATACTTCACCTGCTGGCAATTTAGGCACCGAGACACATACTTCACTATATCCTTCTTCATCCCCCTTCACCAGTAATGCTGCCTCAAGTCCTGATACATCTTCGCGGCACCCGGATGAATAGAGTACCGTGAGCTATGAGCCTCCTGAAGAATCAACTCACGCAAACCATCTACATTAGGCACACATAGCCTGTCCTGCATCCTCAATACGCCATCATCCCCAATAGTGACCTCATTAGCATCACCGCGTTGAACCGTGTCCTTAAGGACAAGCAGGTGGTGGTCATCATACTGACGCTCCCTGATACGATCATAAAGAGAAGACCGAGAGACCACATAAGCCAACACTCGATTCGGCTCAGAAATATCCAATCTCAC